AGGGCCATCTGGCACTTCCTCTCACTCACTGAGTGGCGTGGGGAAGGCCCTTGAATTCAGTGGGGTTTAGTTTCCTCTACAGAAAAATGGAAAACTATACCTACTTCACAGATCTTTCTTTGACAAATATGAATTACCTATACAGAATAGACAGAGGTAGTTTCTTTCATAACTATAAGGATAATAAGATGGCAGAATGTTCAATATACTTACCTATCTTCCCACTTCTATCACTCCTGTTCATCTCATTTCATTGGCACTGTTTTTGTCCTTCTGTTTTACAAATAGGCTACAATTGCCCGTTGATTTCCTGGAGATGTCACGTTTATGTACTAGTAGGCATGTCTCACTGTCATCTTTGCCATTTTGGGTTCTGCTCACCTAGCTTTCCTTCGCTCCCCCTCTGATCAAATCCCAGTGCCTCTACCTCTTGCTGGTCTCCACCTGGAACACTCTCCTCATGGCCCACCTTCACTTGAGGGCTGCTTCTCTTTCATCCCGTTTTTCAGAGAAGAATAGGAATGCAAACTCATAATCGAGAATTAAAAAACAGGTGAATGTGCCAACCCCAAATCATAACTGAATTGTCCTTGCAGAGTATTACATTCCTTTTATACAACACAGAAATGGATATATTATATTTATTTATTGCTCCAGGTGTTAGGTATATAGCAGTGAACAAAACAAAGCCCCCGCTCACGTGGAGTTGGCATTTTTGGGGTAAAGTTGGAGATGGGAGAGCAGGTAATTAAAGAAATCTATCATATGCCAGATGCTGGCAGAGTTACAGGAAGGAGTCAAGAGGGGTAAGAGGGTTCTGTGGTGTGGGTTAGTTGGGACGGGCTCTCTGTGTCAGGAGTTCTGCAGGAAATCTGGAAGACAATATCCCAGGGAGAAGGAACAGCTCAAGTGCAAAGGCCCTGATACAGCAGAAGGCTAAAATACCCCTTTCTGAGAGAGCTCAAATTTAAATTGTGTTCTTTTGTTCTCAGGGCACACTGTTCTTTCCCCTCAAAGATTTATATATATCATATAATTTACTTATTTAGTCTGGATTATAAGGTCTCTAAGGGTAGGCATCATCTGTTGCTGTTTTCTCTTACTTCTACATTCAGAATTCACCCTCCTGTCTGGTTAAATAGTCATTGAATCCATTGATACCTTTAAAAAGGTCGTTAATGGCATTGTGTAGTAAATCACTCACTGGGTTTCTTTTGCCTCCTGTGAGAATTTTCTTTTAGAAATCAGTACATGGGGGTGGGAGGAAATCCTCCTTGACTTGCTCCATTCTTTCCGCTAATGAGCACAAATTGAGTAGAATATATCCATTTCTGTTTTGTGTAAAAGGAAAATTCAGTTAAGATTTGTAGTTGGCATATTTACCTGATTTTTACTGATGATAAGATTGCTCTCTATTCTTTCGCTAATTGGTTTCTCTTTTGTGTAATTTAAGTAAGAAGCAGAAATAAGTGATCTTTAGGTAGGTACATGGTAAGGAAGAAATAAAGAGAAGGGAGAGGGAAAGAAAATATATTCCTCTTCATCCATATCACTTGTCATCCAGAGTGACACTGCTTTGCAAGTTGAGATTGAGATGTAACGACAGCTGTCTTGACTAGTGCTTGGCATGTATTAGGGCCAATGCTAAGTATTTAACATATGTGAACTCATTAAATTTACAACACACTATAGGGTACATATAACTAGCTCTATCTCATAAATAAGTAAATTAAGTCTTAAAGAGGTTAAATGACTTGCCTCCAAATAGAAGAAAGTAGGAATGATTGCCTTTTAATGGCTAGGTCAGAACTGTCAGAATTAAATCCCAATTTTTCTGATCTTCCCTTTCCTCATGCTCCCATCTGGCCTCACCCTCCAATAGTGATCATTAACTCACCTTGAGTCCTTGAAGTGGTCTTTACAAACATCCATTATTCCCTTACTATAATACAACAATTCCTGACTGAAGTACAGCCCTGTTTAAAAAAACAAAAACAAACAAACAAACAAAAAGAATGCAAGATGCCCATTGTAAACCGACAAGCTGGATGGTGGGAAGCCACCCATACCTGTGCTAAGAAAGGTGGTAATGAATTCAGTGTAGGCGATTCTGAGGAAAATATAAGAAAACACCTAGATGCTCCAACTGGTCACAGGAGTGAAACAGATCCCTCCTTGCTTTCAGGGTACGACCCGGTGTTTCTCCCTGCTGCTTGCACCAGCGCCGGGCTCAGGAACCCTGAGGCTGGGGAACCGAGGGGGCGATGCCTGGGGGTCTGGCTCACGGACTGTGGACACGGGGGAGAGGGCAGACCAATGCTCACACATACATACGCGCAGGCATACATACACTCACACACCACACACGGTCTCAAGAGGGCACAAGAGCAAACGCGTTTGACACATACATAGAAGTGTGCACCTATAAATGCATACTTCACCCGCCCACCCACATCGCACCACAAACACAGGCGCACGAGAACTCACACACCCTCCCACTCATGCACGGACACCGAACACAGGCCCGCAACACGCGAGCTACAAATGCTCTTGGCGCACACGCTTCCATCCTGTGCACACACCCTCTTGCGCGCACACACACCTTGCACAGGCAGGCACCGCGCGCACGCGCGCACCCGCGCGCACAGGCTCTCGCGGCGAGGGCGGGGCGGGAGGGAGCGGCCGGGTGCCCAGCCCCGCGCGGCCAGGAGGGGGCGCGGCGCGGAGCCGCGGGCGGAGCCGGAGCTGTTGCTGGCGGCGGGGCGGGGAGGCTGGCCGCGGGCTGCACCGGGTCCGCTGCGCGGGGCGGGGCGGGGAGGGAGCGCTCCCAGGCCACCCGGTGCCGGTGCCCGCGCCCGCGAGGGGAGCGCGGCGGGGAGCGCGCCATGGACCCCAAGGCGGGCGGCGGCGAGGATGACGACTGTGTGGACTCGGGAGCCGAGACCGGAGGGTGAGCCGGGCCGGGGGTGGGTGGGGGCCGCTCTGTGAGTTGTGAGGCCGCTCTTCTCTGGCCTGAGACCTTCCCTTCCCGGACCCCTTCGGCTGAGAAGGGGCCCGGGGCTGCCCTCCCGCAGCCACTTCTCCCCGAAGCCCGAGGGCAGTGCGAGCCTGAGGGCACGTGGTTCATGGCTGCCCGGGACGGGACCGGCCCACCCGGGGAGGGGAGAGTGAAAGACTCAGGGTTCAGAGAACCCCCACAGCCCGCACCCCGTTATCACTGAGATGGTGTGGAGTGCCAGACAAATGCAGTGTCCCCCGTGGTCGTCCTTAGAGAGACAGGAGACGCTCTTGCACCTGTTTGGACCTTCCATGAGGACTTTCTTGTGGCTCAGGAGCCCCCTGGAGTCCGGGATGGGGGCTCCTGGGTGAGGAAAAGAGGTTAGGACACCTGGCACCTAAAAGTCTTTCGGAAATCGGCGAAGAGGGAGGCATTTTTAATTTGATGGCTTTACTGTGCTTGCTGAGACATTCTCCCCTACCCCTCAACTTCTCCACTCTGCCCTCCCGCAACTCACCCCCCTGTGTACCTGTCCTACCCGCAACCTTTTGCCTTGGGTACAGGTGGGATGAAGATGAGGGATGAAGACATATTTAAAAGCAATGTCCTCCTCACTTCAACAGACTGTTACCCCAAACCTTTGGAGACTAACTAGCCCTCTCCCAACAAAACCGGTTTCCTGAATGTCTTTAAGGAGATGAAAGTCGTTGTAAAGGTTCCCACCCAGCCCCTATCTCTTGAGGATTTCCCCGTGCAGAGTCAGCGCCACATGCAATGTCCAGGATGCCGTGCTGACCCAGGAGGAAAGGGTGGATTTTCCTATCCGGAGGAGCCCGGGGGAGGGCTGAAGCTGCCCAGACAGCCTTCATCCCTGAGTTGGGGAGGTTTAGACCAATCTCAGGGGTTGGCAACCGGGTGCGGGCAGGAAGACAGTCCAAACCTAGAATGGACACCGGGTTCTGACCTGACCCCAAGAAGCGCTCCCTACTGGCTTCTCCTTTGTAGCCCCCACTGCCATTGCCAGCCCAAAGCTGGTGTGTTATGCCCTAAAGCAAGACCCTTCAATGGTCTTGCCCTGTTTTCCAAACTTGTGATCGATCATCTGTGGTTCACTACAGAACTCAATGATGTTCCAGTGTAGTGACCTGAGTCCGAATACTGAACTCCCTTGCTTTCCCCCCACACTTTGTATATGTGGCCTTTATCAACTGTAACTGAAGATCCTCCCTAATGTCTGTAGTTAGCTGGACCATGAATAGAGAAAATGCAAGCAAAATTAACCAGCGCATTATCAGCCTTGCTAAATAAAGCACGGACTAGCCCATTTGTTTTCAATGGACTAGTCAGTGCTTTTTTCCAAAGCACTAAAACATTTTTGCCAAAGGCTCCCTCTTGGAGAAGAGAATGGAGAGGAGTCTCACCCTCTTCACCCATTTCACACCACCCTGGGATCCCAAGAGCAGCATCTCAGCCGGGACTCCTGGGTGGGGCTTGCTGAACACGCGGATACCAGAGTGTCTGTTTTCTGCCTGTGGTGAAAGTGTGCAGTTGTAACAGGACATGATTGTTTAAAGAATTCTTATAGCCTCAGTAGCAACCTTAAATTGAAGATGTAGGTAAAATGCCCTGAATTTAAATAAAATAGTTTCTGTGTATGCTTATTGGTCTAGTATCTGCCACATATTCACATATGCCTGGAAGTAGTTTAGTTACCAAAAGGCTGTTCATAATTTCCCTGCTTTTCCAGAGCTTGTCCCCTCTTACCCTATCTAGCTTCATAGAGCTGCCTGTTGAGACTATGAATCAAAAGTGGAGAAAGAACTCAATACATGTTTGCTATCATTATTTTTTAAATTTTATATATATATATATATATACACACATATATATATATTTATATATATATATATGTATATATATATATATTTATATATATATATATGTATATATATATATATATATATATATACACACACACACACACACACACACACACACACACACATATCAGCAGAGGAACGATCTACCTTTTCCACTTGCAAAGGGTGAACAGAAAGCCACTATATTTCTTTAGGACATTTACAAAGAGATTTCTTCACCTTAAGAAATCACTATTTTTGAAGTGCAAATCTGGTCATGTCTCTCTCCCATTCAAACTTTTATGGCTCTGCCATCTATAAAAGGCAAAGAGCTCAGCATGCCCTATAAGCCTGATGTTATGGAATTCCTCTCTCTCTGGCTTGTTTCTTGGCAGGTCTATCCTTACTTTTTTTCTTTTCTTAGACATTGTCTTTTGCTTGAAATGCTACCTTTGCTGTCTGACCCACCTAATACAGGTCAAAACTAAATGCAGTCTATATTCTTCTGAGCTGATTGATGTCATTTTGAAACTCTCATTTTCCTATTGAAAACCAGCCTTGTGCTTTTGTGTACTTCTTGTTAGAAAAAACAGGTCAGCTATTGACAGTTGTGAGCTATCTTAAGAAACAGAATTCTTTAATAGAGGGACAGGCAATGCTGTAAATCCAAATAAAAGACAGAATAAGCAAGACACTATATATAGTGTATTGCTTATTCAGTATATATATATATATATATATATATATATATATATTTTCAGTATATATATATATATATATATATATATATATATATATATATATATATATATATATATATAACTGAACCGTGTAACAACCAAACAACCAAACATCCAGTGACTATGACGTGCGCTGACCACCAGGGGCACATATGTAACATAGTGGGCATCACCAGCAGGCAGCAGAGCATGGAACATGGTGGGCGTTGGCTGGGTGGGATAGTGGAGCAGGTAAGCAAGGGTTCCAGACCAAGGCAAGGTGCTGATCGCTGTCATTGGAGTGAGCCTCTTGTGGTTACTGAACATTCTTTGCTCCCATGTGCCACAGTTCCACCCGGTGCTCGCACCCGCTGCTAGCACCAGCCCCAATCGCTAGGCAACAGCAGTGAGGGTGCACAGCGGCTGCCGGCCCTGATAGCCCCTCAGGCTACTCTAGCCTCTTTTGCTCCTGAGGGGTGATCAGGGAAACAGCTGCTGCTGCGCCCTCTGATGGTGTGTGGGAGCAGTGGCAGGAGTGGGGCTGCCGGCAGATAGGGGGTCAGGGCTGTGATGGGAGGGGTCAGGTGGAGTGTGGATGATGGGTCAAGACCCACCCCTGTATCCACCACAGCCTTGGAGCCCACAGTTCCTTTCAAGGAACTCCCATTTTCCTATTGAAAACCAGCCTTGTGCTTTTGTGTACTTCTTGTTAGAAAAAACAGGTCAGCTATTAACAGTTGTGAGCTATCTTAAGAAACAGAATTCTTTAATAGAGAATTTTTAAGAAACAGAATTCTTTAATGAATTTATGCACTGGACCCCTAGTGCTTTATAATGGGTGTTTCATTGGTGATGTCTCCCAGATTCAGCCTGTAAACCACTCTTCCAAATATGACAATACTTGATGGATTACTTTCATTAAAAAGTTTGATCTGCCGAAACCGGTTTGGCTCAGTGGATAGAGCGTCGGTCTGCAGACTGAAAGTTCCCAGGTTCGATTCCGGTCAGGGGCATGTACATTTGTTGTGAGCACATCCCCAGTGGGGAGTGTGCAGGAGGCAGCTGGTCGATGATTCTCTCTCATTGATGTTTCTAACTCTCTATCCCTCTCCCTTCCTCTCTGTAAAAAAATCAATAAAATATATATATTTTTAAAAAAGTTTGATCTGACAATAATGAACTTCTACTTCACAGTCAGTTGGCCCTGGGTTTCTGGAACTATAGGGCCTGTCAATGAAAGGATGACCAGCCTAAGAAAAGATTTGCAAGAGTTTATTTGAGCTAACTGATGACAATTGCCAGGAAGCAATTAAAAAGAGTTGGGATTAAAAAGAATGCTCAGGAGAATGGCAGTTTTGTGGCTTATTTTATACATTAGAATCGAAGGAGGACACAGAGGAGGATTACATGAAATCTAGTGGTGGCAGATTTAGGGGGCTGGAGAAGAGTGGGGAAATCTCTGAGACTGGCTGAAAAGCCAAATGGAGAGACACATACTTCCTTTGCCGTGGTGGGTCAGGACAGCTGACATTTACAGCACACAGAGACGGTGTGCGGGGAAGCAGATAACAGTGTGGCCTTGTGCTGGCCTTTGTGCTTTCCAGAGGTTTAGAAAAGAAAATTACTCTGACTTTTAAAGGTACGTTATCTTAGATCAGGGGTGGTGGGCTTCCAGCTCTCAGGCCGAATAAAGCCCTCGGAATCAGTTGATCTGGCTCTGCCAACGCACTAGGGGTGAGCTGATTAAGTGTCTGACCATATATAAAAGACTAATTTTTAAGTTGACAATTTTATACGGCCCACAAATGATGCTATAAATATCCAAATGGCCTTCCCCACCCCTGTCTTAGACAGTAGACGCCTAGCACATGACTACCTACCATGCCCCACTTTTACTTAGGAAGTTTTATGTTCAAACCTGTTACTGTTGTAACTAGCTAGTTGATGTTAATAATAGGAAAGGAGCAAAAGGGAGGCCAGACATTATAAGCAGGTCATCTAGGCAGCCTCACCAGGAAGCTGCCTCTCACACTACCCACAGAACTACCAGTCCCTTCCCCACAGCTCAGTAGGAGAAAGGGAGAACTGAGTCATGTGCAGTAAAGTCGGGTGATGTATGGAAGATACTTGCCTGTCAGCCTAGCCCAGAGAACCATGGATTCGCTAGAGGGGATGGAGCCACTGCATTTTAATCTTGTAAGATTAAATTCCCAAGGACAAATTCTCTCTCTTTCATTGCTCTTGCTTCACTCCTGCCATGTGGACCCCACACACCATGGACTGCAGCTGGAAATACAAGCTAAGCTAGCCTGATGCTGGATTGTGCAAATATGGGACAGAAACTCTGGACAATGGCTTTAACCTGAGCTCTGCTGATGGCACACCTGGACTTTTTCCTTGGCAGGATGGAGAGAGAGGGATCTTGGAAACTCATGAGTTTAATTTTATGCAAATAAATGTCACCCATTCTTTTTTGTGAGTCTCAGAAAATTTATTTTCTCATGACATCGCAAGAAGCCCACTTCCATCAGCAACAGGTGGGACACGAAGAGCAGCCCACCAATAGCAAGCCCATCCTGTGTGATGACTTTCGGTCTCTTGAGTTTGTAAGGCCTTCCATGTAGGCCTCTGCTGAGCTTGTCAGGTTTGATTTGTTGGTCCTTTTTCATCCACAGGTAATACAGATGCAGTTGCAATAATCTGGTTATTATTTACAGGAAAGAAGTAAAGGGGAGATCAAATAATATAGGCATGCCATTTATATCACTCTGCCAAAAGCTGCACTTAGCACTCTCCAGGTCATTCCTTGCTGTTTAATGGGGGAAAGGACTGGACAAGGGCAGTTTAGACTCATACCCAGTAAGTTCAGAATGCCGTGGGAAGGTGCCTACCTGTCTCTCAGTCACACCTGGGATGGGTGTGGCCTCTGCAAGTAAGCAAAACCTGAATATTTAAACTTCTAATCAAAAGAGCACCCCCCCCCCGCTCGCTCTTGTATTATTATTCTGCTCATCTGTATTATGTGTCCATAAATTTTTCATCCTAAAATGCATGGATTCACCTTTCACGCTTTACTCTGGCAGAGCGGAAGGTGTTATGTAGAGCCAGCTGGGTAAATTCTCAGGATGTGATTCCCAAGATAGGCACCCTATTGCTGTTCCTCCTCCTCTGAAAAAGCTTGGGAGTGCAGAGCCCTCCAGAGATTGAAATTGTTTGAACCTACTTAGTATGCATAAACTTGTTTTAAGTTTTACAGTTTGTCTTTCATTGGCAGTATTTCCAGTAAAAAAAACTTTGTAAGGTATTTGGACTGTGTTTTAAGAGCTATACAAGGTCCATGCCTTGATTCAGTCCCTGCTCCTGTTCATGATAATTTTCCTAAGGAAAAGAAAATAAGTATCAAGTTGTATTATACATATTTCATTGCTGGTGTGCTTTGCAAAAGTGAACAATCAGGAGCAATTATATAACCAACAAGAGGGAAATAGTTGATTAAATTATAGTAAATCACTTTATCTAAAATTATAACTACAGGAACTATGCAGCAGCATGTTATAATAGTGTTCAGTGAAAAGATCAAATTAAAATTGTATCTCCAGTATGATGGCAACTGCATACAAATTATAGAAACAGGATGAGAGGCTGGAAAGCAGCGTGAGAGTTTAGGTGACTTTCTGTTGATTTCTGTCTTCAGGAATGGAAGATGGGGCGATGAATGAGACTGCAGAGCTGGGCAGGGGCCATCAGTAATGGAAAGAGGGGTTTATGCTGTATAATATATCAAGCTTGAACTTCATCCAGAGATACAAGATTAAATTTGTACTTTGCAGAGTTTCACTGATGTAAAGGGTGAGAATGACAGTCAAGAGACTGAGCAGTACCAGGCCAGCCTGACCCACGCAGTGCCTTTAGACATGAGAACTAAGGAAGGATTCCTGGCAGGGGCATTAGTTATGCTACCACCTGCCCTAAAATTCTACTGTTGCACTTTAAGATTGTTGAAATGTGTTTCAAATGTAAATCTCATTCTAAGTACATTGCCATCTGTAGCAAATCTTTAAAATGTATGCATATGCGAACCGAAACCAGTTTGGCTCAGTGGTAGAGCGTCGGTCTGCGGACTGAAGGGTCCTGGGTTCGATTCCAGTCAAGGGCATGTGCGTTGGCTGCGGGCACGTCCCCGGGTAGGGGATGTGCAGGAGGCGGCTGGTCGATGTTTCTCTCTCATCGACGTTTCTGGCTCTCTATCTCCCTCCCTTCCTCTCTGTAAAAAATCAATAAAATATATATATTTTTTAAAAATGTATGCATATGCGAAACCCATCTGCCTCAGGAGTATTTGGAAATCCTAGCTGAAAATACTAACAAATTTTTAATAAGGTAAATAACCCTATCACACATTCTTATTGAATGTTTTATTTGAGTTATCATGAAATTTCTTTAAAATCTGTCCACCTTAATGAGATTGCTTTTCTGTTGTATCTACTACAATGGATCTTTGTCGTGTATCATTGCATTTATAGAGTGTTATATTTCTAAGTATTGCCCTAAAGTT